TTCCTACTAGAATGTGTTTTAAACAACTGCTGAAAGAAGACCCATCTCTTCACTCATGATTTCCTTTTGTGAATGTTAAGAATGAAAGCTTTCTTCTCTGTCCTCTCACCTTTTAATGTGTTACACATGTTTATACTGAAAATTCTTAATATAATTGTATATATTTGTCTTTTAATCATTGTTTTTCTCTTTTATTGCAATTGTATACATCATTTTGAGACAAGAATGTAGTGTTTATATTTTTAAAAGAGCATACATAATAACTATACCTTTTGTACATGACTAGTATTTATTTATACCAAACAATGTAAGACTAACAAAACTTATGAACAAAAACTTATTTTACATAAGAAATATAAAAAGATTCATAGAAATGGTTTAATAAGAGAATTTTAAGGAAAGGTTCATAAATTCCAATGAAAGCAGATTTTTTAGTAAAATTACATCCTGTGATATATGTTTAGAAAATAATATAATTACTCCTATTAAAATTGCTTTCAAATTAAAGTATCAATAGAACAAAACCTATAAAATATCTACAAATACAATCACTCAGTCATCTTGTTTTTAGCCATTGCCTTCATTCTCCTTGTTCGTCATTTTGATGTAATCAGTTTCTTTGATTATGTGACATCTCTAGATCTCTACTCTTCCCTGTTTATGAGCAGCTGCAGCTGCATAACAGTCTGTTCATTGAGAGGCTGACCTAGCACAGGGCATACTGGCTATTTTCAGAACATTTCATGTGGTCCTCTGTGAATCATGCCTTGTATTAAGTGTTTTCTGAATTTCCTTCTCCAATGTCAAGTTATTACCCTTCCTTCTTTTCAAAAGGAACCAGTGTCCCATTTGATTTTGCTGAGCAATTTTGAAGCTTTGATATCGTGTCATAATTTTTCAATGGAAATAAATTTAAGCAGAAAATCGGAATGTTTATCACTACTATATTGCATGATTATTTAGCAAAATAGCTGCAAATACTGTCCTGAGCAAAAATACTTTCTTTACAAAATTTATGGAGACTTTTTATCTTTGATTTCATCTGGGGGAAGATGCAGGATACATCTGAGTATGCTCCTTATATTTTAGCTGCAGTGACATCTACTGTAATAACAATGTATGACAATTTGATGTTACAAAATTAATGTCTTCAGGTTTCTATATTATTTACAATCTGGCTGAGGCAAGTTCATAATTCAAATCAAATAAATAAAATTAAATAAATAATTCTTAATACATCTATTTCATACGTGGGATTTAAATCTTCAGAATCTCTCTAAATTAATCTTCTTCTCTGGGGATTATTACCTTTCTATGGTGGAAGAGCGCCAATGACCCTGATAGCCACACTGGCAAAATCACCCTTGTTTATAAAGCCTAAGAGTGTGGAAATTAAAAATAATGCACAAACCACTAAGAGAAAGAATTCCCAAATCAGATCTGAAGAAGCTGATCAGAATGGCAATTAGATAATACCCCATGTCACAAAACCACCCCATGACAGAAATGGGGGAAAAAATGTAGAACTTCACAGGTAGATCTGCATGTGATGATGTGGCCAGACCAATTTTGCAAGGAAGTCTGGTTACTGATGGTGAAAGAGAAGAAAACAAAACTGGGACAATTGTAATGTCAAAAGCAAGAAGCACAAACCAAGGAAGAGGTGAATCTATAAAAGCAGAAGTAAGGCATACAAAGAGGGCATCTTAGAAATAAATCAGTTAAGGTGGACCAGAATGAACTATTTAACTGAGATTATTACATGAAATAAGCTCAATGTAAGGAACAGATTATGTACATTTAATATTTGCAAAGGTAAGCCTGAGGAACTATGGGAAGATACAAGAAACGTTTTTGAAAATTTAAGTAGAAAAACATTTCAAAACCTTTAAAGAGAAAAAGATCCAAATGGCTTCAAAACACATAATTGTGATATTACAAAATAACGGAGGATGAACATTTTGGACAATATGACATATGATTATCCTTTCAACATAATCCAAGAAAAGACAAGGGAAGTTAACTCAGCCCAAAAGGTCAACAAATGGCAGAACGTATCAAGAAAAGGAGAAATGCAAGATCTTTTAAAGAAAATCAGAGAAATCACAAAAAATATTTGCTGCATCCAAGGTAGGAATATTAAAAAATAAACACAGAACAATCTAATAGAGTGAAAGACTAAAGGAAGATAGAAAGATAAAACTGAAACAAACAAATCATTATAGAAGGATTGAAACACTTGTAGAGAAAGGAACCAGTTTAATTAGATAGTGAAGTATGATAGGCAATAAAGCAGCTATCAAAGTAACAGGCAATAGAAATACCCTCTGAACTATTTATAGCGGCATAACAATTAAAGTGCTAACAGGTCTATGTCAATCAGGATCAATTTAAAGGAATTGTAGTAGATGCAGCTGCAATAGGCCCCCAAAAAATGGTGGCTCCTAAGCAGGGGCTCTTCCCACACATTACTCCATCCTTCTGTGTGGTCTGCCTGCCGATACAATGGTACCCACCTGCTGTCCCTCTGCCAATCTCCTGTAGTGCGCTTAGCATCTGCACCTGCTCCTGCCTCCTTCACTGAACCCACAAGGGCAAGCAATGGAGGAAGAACAGGGTGGAGCATGCCAGTGAAGATGACTGGTTGCTGCAGAGACTGAAAAAAGCATCCTGCTCTGATAGTAGCTGTCACCAAGGGACAGAGAGGTAGCAAACTGTCCTCCAGACTGTCTGTTGGACTGTCCAGACTAGCTGCCAGTGCCCACTGAAGGCAAGGGCAGAGTCTCCCCTCTCAGATGTCTTGTACAGCAGTGTTCCTCAACCTTGGCAGCTTGAAGATGTGTGGACTTCAACTCCCAGAATTCCCCAGCCAGCCATGTTGTACAGGATGCAGCTTCACTAGGCTAGGGCTGTAACTGGGCTGCATTTTAAACAACCACTAGATGGCAGCAGGCATATAGAAACTTCTAACTCATCCAGCTTTTTGCTGCACACATTATACTTTTATCTTGCCTTTTTAAAATATCTATTTAGCCAACTCAAGGCAATGAACATACTTAATTTCTCCTGCCTCCTATTTTCACCACCACCACAACCCTGTGAGGTGGGTTGGGCTAAGACAGAGTGACTGGCCCGAAGTCACACAGCAGCTTTCATGCCTAAGGGAGGCCAAGAATTCAGTCTCCTGGTTCCTAGGCCAACATCTGTACCACCACATCAAACTGGCTCTCTGGCAGCCCTAGTAACCACCCTGCATATGTATGCATGTGTGCACATCAGTGGGACAACAATGGAGAGGGTGGAGAAAAGAGAGCAAGCTGTGTGTATGTGAGGGAAAAGTGTGTGGGGGAAGGAAGAGAAAGGAAAAAAAGTTGTGTTTATGGAGAAAATTGTGGTGGTTGCTTAGATTGAATGTAAAGGAGAGATGCATTATTACATTTTGCTCAGAACCTCAGCAGCAATATTTATGGAAACAGGACTGGTTAGCTAACTTGACTGAAACTAATGCCAAAGTACTAAAAGAGTTTTAAATACTCTTTTGATAATGTGCCCTCCCACTGGGATCTTCCTAAGTCATTCTAGACATACCATCAATCACAGATTGAATTCAGTTACTTTTGTTCTGGGATTCATACATCCCATTAATTGACCCAGCTTCTGCAGCATCTAACACCTCTAAAAGTCCTACAATTAGTAGACTAGAATTAGTAAATTTGGTGAATGAGACGATGGCTGAGGCCCCTTTCTTCCTTTCTGTTCCCCTCTGGGTTTATTTTCTTTGCCATCATTGCTCTTTTGGCTTGTGCTGTTTTTGTGTTTTTTCTATTGTTCCTTGTTTTTAAATGTTTTACCAATTGTAAACTGCCTGGAGTCACTGGGAGTCAGGTAGCATATAAATTTAATAAATTACTATTATTATGAGGCTAAAACTGGAGGTGAAGTACAACATACACTACCTTGTATTCCTCAAAGAAAGGCGACACTGTATTTTCCTTTGGACTGTTGCCTATTACTGCTACTTTCCCCCCTTGGGCTCTTTCTACTCACACACACACACACACACACACACACACACACACGATGCCAGCAAAAGCTGAAACAATCAAAGGACAGACAAGAGCTTATTTTCTAGGGAGGCATTACAGGAACTTAATCTCAAATCCTTACTGCTGTCTCAAATTACCAGTCTGAGATTCCCTGATGACTATTCAGGTTCTCCCTTTGCTGATTGGGAATTAAAAGAACTGTTGTTCAGTGCCTCTGGAAGGCATCAGATGAGGAAAAGCTGAAAGGGAGATGACTGGGCCAGGAGCTACTGCACCAGATGTTGTTTGTTATTCCAACGCTGCTTTGGATTCGTCCCAAAATTTAGGAATGCTCCAGACAATCCTGAAAACAAGAGGTCAGTAACTTGAAAGCACACTGTGGTCTAAGAAAGTTGCAGGTACTAGCAAAAACGTTAGAAAGACTCCTGACTTGGAAAATGGCTGCCAGCTGAATGGATTGCTAAACTTGTATAATTTAGACCAGGGTTTCTTGAACTCGGCAGCTTTTAAACTTTTTTGAAGTCCACGCATTTTAAAGTTGCCAAATTTGAGAAACACGGATCTAGACTCACTCTCATCCTCTCCCTCCCCTCCTCATCTATAGATCTGGAGCCCCAGCAGGCACCCTCGAAATCTCTGCTCCTGGTAGCTGGCATTCTGACTCTGAGCCGCTCCACAGCGCGGCCTAAGGATCGCCGAAGGCAATGGACTCTACCGTAATGGCAACGGGGGGACTGATCTGCGGCTGCAAAAACGCAACGTTCGCTCGGCCGTCGGCTCGTTCCGCGCGGAACGGGCCAAAGAAACGGACAAGGAGAGCCCCCGCTCTATCGCTCCATGGGCGTGGCCACCCGTGAGGACCTTCGGAGCACCCACACCTCTGCCCGCCGGATGCTCCCTTGTTAGTTCCCGGAAGTGACGTAGCCCAGCGCTAACTCGCCCCCCTCCCCTCCTCTCCTCTCTAGCGGTGGCTGGCTGCGGCAGCTGTAGAGCCAGGAGGGGCTGGCGGAGGCGAAGCAGCAGCAGCGGCGGAATATGGCGGACGGCGTGGACCACATAGACATCTACGCCGATGTAGGAGAGGAGTTTAACCAGGTAGAAAATTCCGCGCGGTCGGCTTTCCACGGGGACATTCCAAGGCAGAAATGACACTCGCGGGAGGAGAGAGGCCTGTGGTTTCGGGGGCAGAGCCTGGGTGGCTGGTGCGGGCCTCAGCGCAGGGGGAAGCCGGCGCCATTGTTGACTATGGCGCTCACCAGCGGCCCCGCGCGACTTTCCCGCCTGGCGTGTGGCGTGGCTGCACCCCGGTTGTGGTTACCGCCCGAAGGATCGCGCGGCATCGCACCTGGAATGCTCCTCTTCCTCTCCGCCTGTTCCTTTTTCTCGGCGAGGCTCTCAAGCGCAGGAAGACAATGAGCCGAAGGAGGAGTCTCGCCCCTAAGGCTGCTGTGTTGTTTATTCCCCATTCTGCCTGCTCCCTTAAGGAAAGGGAAGCTGGAACGCCGCGGCGCAAAAACACGGCGGTCTTTCCTCTAGAGGCTGTTAAATCATTGTAGGAGAGAAAGTGCTTCCACAGCCTCCCTCGCCGTTCAGGATGAACGCTTTTAACCTGTGGGGGGTAAAAATAATCCCTTCCCCCCAAAATAGTTTGCAATTCCCTTGGTGCCTTCTTTATTTTTTCAACAAAAAGGTTCGGTGTCATGATGGCAGTGCAAATTTTAATAATAAAGTCGATTATGCCAGAATGACATTTCCGTTACTTTTTTAAGAAGTAGTGGCTTCCGCAGAATAATTTATAAAGGTTAAATCCGTATACCTTTACATATTTGGGAGAATATTTTTTCCTTGTGAAATCTGTGGAATTGGACAGAGTTATAAAATGGTTCAGTTGCATAACTATTTTCCCAGTCAATAATAAGAGTAAGTAGCACGCTATGAGGTAAACCTGATAAATTTGGCTCTGTTGCTACCTTGGCATAGTCATCTATTCTTTTTTTTCTCCTATGTTATCATAGGAGACTTATTTTAAAGATAGCATTTTTTTTAATAAAAGTGTCCAGAAAAGGATCTTTATAGTTTCTGTTTGATGTGTTAACTTGTCTGCTTTGAAATCTTTGCTTGCTTTCTTCCATATATTAAAGATGCTTATTAAACCCAGTTTCTTTCATATTGTGTATAGTGCTTAACAACTTAGCTGTGAGGCTGTTCTTTAAAAAAGGAGAAATCAAAATACTGTAGGTACTAGAGAAATTAGGTCTGAGCTCCCAACATACTTACAGCATAAAAAGCTCTGCAGGTGTATGTCGGTGGGGGCAATTTTAGTGCATATGCATCCTGTTTATTTGTAGGATTCAAAGTCCTCTCTTTCCTCCATTTTTGACATCAAGATTAGATTGGCATGTATGTTTTATCTCATTAAAATCAATGTAAAATAATTTTTAAAAGGATCCTAGGGGAGGGAAATAATAATCTATATCTATCTGCATCACAACTTCACTTGGCTACAACAAACTTGGCAGGACTTTAGAATAATTGAGTAACAATCTTCCCTTTGTCTTACTCTCGATTAAAGTTTTGTAGCTGTTCTCTATATCATCAAGCATTCAAAGCTGTGCACCCAACATTTTTTAAAAGGCAAGATAAATTTTCAGTGGCTAATCAAAAGCAGAATAACAGTTGAGAATATTTACCATCTAGCAGAAAATATTCTCTGAAAATTCCAACTGATTACTTACAAGTTGGCAAGAAAATCCAAGGAAAAACATTCTGTAGTATGGGTGCTTCTACAGAGGAAGATTAGCTTTGTGCTTTTGCATAATTGGCTTGGTTTGCATATTAAGTCATAAACCACTGCTTTATATATTATGATTATTGCCATCAAGCATGAACTCAACTATTATATCTGCAATTGAATTCTAAATTTATACTCATTGTTGGAGTAGTACATGACACTTTAAATTTTTGGTATTTGATTTCTCATATTGAAATGTAATTTGAATTTTTTTAATAGCAGGAAACATCTACATTTTAACAACTTCTATACAGTCCTTGCAAGTAATATTGCAAAAATGTTTCCAAAGATGATACAATTCCCAGAAATTTGGAGAGAAGTGGGAAGGCAGAGCTATAAGATTGATTTTAAAAGGTATAGAAGTGTATTGCAAATACATCCTTGGATGTTCAAAGTTCTACTTCTCCCTTATTGATTATATTTATGGCATTAGTTTTACCCTATTTATCTGAACAGAAGATAAACCTAAATATTAGACAAAGTTATAAACAGATTTGTGCAATGCCTGTCTCCCCAATCTTATCAGCTTAGCGTTGCCAACTCCAACTGAAACCAATCCTAGAGACCCCAGTTTACCCATAAATATATGGCACATGTGTATACACATGTATATGTGTGTGAGAATATATGGTTGCCTGAAGTCCAATTCCAAAAATGGGCAAGGCCAAGACAATAAATAGCAGGTGTTAGAAGCTAAGCATGGATAGACCTGATTAGACTTGGATGGGAGATCACCAGGGAATAGCAAGGTAGGAGAGTTTTGGGAGTGCATAAATGGCAAACCACTTCCGAAACACCTTGCCTTGAAAACTGCAGGGACTTGTCCAGGCAGTCGCCACAGAATCGGTAACGATTTGAGTACGGATTAAAAAAAAAAAAATCAAGTCAAGGTGTATATTGACTTCCTCAAACTCATTCCTTGAATAGAGGAACTGTATCATCCACAACTTCTTGGGGATGCAGGGAATTAAATTCCTGAGTTGTTTCCCTTAGACTTCCTGAAAGGGTCCTTAACTGAGTGAGCTGATAATCATGGTAGTAGGGAGTTCCACAGATGCTGAATCAATAATTAGCTCCTCCCTGCTGGGCATCTCTGGGCCTTGGGCCTGTGCACTAGGAATTTCCACATGTGTTGTATCAAGGACTGGAGTATAGACATTACAGTTAGCAGTCAATGTAAAGTGCTGGTCTTCAATGAGATTTGATGGAATTACTGGGTTTTTAGCATTGTGGCTGGAGTTATATTTAATGAGTGGAATGTCATTAACACTTGCAGAAAAAACTACATGCTGTGCTAGATTATTTTTGATACAGATCAGCATCTATAGCTACTTATATTGCTTCTCAGCCCAAGTTAAAAGAAGCAGCTCTATGGATACATCTTCAAATAGTTCATAGTGATTGTGGAATTGATTCATTGGGAGGTGAAACTGTAATGAGGATGACAGGTACAGTAAAAACCTTGGAGTATCTGACAGGTTTTTCTGCCACATGCACCCTAGAAGGGTAAGATTGAGATAATCTTGATTCCCTGGGGTAATTTTATAATGTTCCTTTTCCTGCAGAAAAACAATCTCATTCATTTGTGCTTGGGGTTTTTTAGTAGGAACCATGCCACTAGGTTAGTACTCCTGTTTATGGAGTGATTCCTGAGAATGCCAGGAAGATTTCTGTTGCTTTTTATTGTTTCCACTAAAAAGTTTCCATCGTTGGATTTTCCTACAGAAGCATTATTTAACTGATATTACTGCTGATTTGATAATGATTTGTGAGTACTGCTTGACTCTTCTTCATATGAATCTAGAAGACAAAATAATTCCAAGGCCTGAAGTTTTTTCTGCTCTGTTCTACAGTTAGTCTAAAGTCAGTTCTAACTCTGCTTTTAAAGATATTCCAAGGTTGCCAGATCTCTATACACCTCTTCAAACCCATCTGTGATTTGATTTTGGAGGTATTTTATGTTCCATAAGGATTAAAAATCCTTATAAGCTGTTTTGTATTAAATGAAAAATGATTAAATACCACTTTCTTTTGGGTTCCACTTTCACTTGTGCCTGTGTGTGTGGTTAGTGAACAAGTTCCATTTGCTACTCAGGCATCCTTTCATTGTCCTGCCTTCTCTCTCTCTTAGAAGAAATGTTTTCATTTTCACTGCTGTAACTGGACTCTTGAGCAAAATTTTGCTACGCCTCTGGGTTTGGGGGGATTTTTTTGGAAGTTGGACCACAATAGACACACTTCCTGCTTCTGTCATTGCTATTTCATAGTGCTGACTAAAACCAACAGAAGTAATACAGAAATACTTCTTGTATGTGACTTTGCATTTCCAGTTTCAAAGTTACTCTTGGGGATGTGTTTTAAAGTCTTTTTTTTTCTTGGAATTTCTCATACAACTTTTCAAAATGTATCATTCTGTTTCTTGATATTTCTTTTACACCTGTAATGACAATAGCATTATTAGGAATGCTATAAACTCCCTGTTTCATTAAACATTAATGCATGTTTGAAAGATACATACAGGTAGTCCTCGATGTTTGACCATTCATTCAGCGACCATTCGAAGTTACGGAATTGCTGAATGAAGGGACATGCCTGGTTCTCAAAGTTCCGGCTGTTGCAGCGCCCCTGTGATCACAAAACAAAACAAAATTCAGGTGCCTGGCAGTTACGGCCAGTTGTAGTGTCCTGCATTCACGTGATTGCCATTTGCGCCCTTCCCTGCTGGCTTCCCCCAAGCAAAGTCAATGGGAAGCCAGCAAGGAAGGTCACAAGTCGCTGGGATACATCTCCCCCTCCTGGCCTTTCTTTGCTTGCACGCACCATGCCCTCCTTCCCCCCCTTCGCTTGCACACACCCCGTGCCCTCTTTCCTTGGCTTCCCTGTGCTTACACACGTGTACGCATGCACCCTGCTCCCTCTCTCCATGGCCTCCCTGCTATCGCATGCAACCCTGCACCCTCATTCCACAGCCTTTCTGAGCGCAAGCTCGTGCCGCATCAAGCACCCCCTCTTCCGACTTGCAGCCTGTGCTGGGGCTCCCCCATCCCTCTGCAGCACCCTCATGCTCCTTACCTGGGACTCCTACTGTGTCCCACGTAACCCGTGCATCTTCAGTTATGACGACAACTCAGACTGCCAGGATTGCTGTTAATGCAGTTATGTGACGACTACCTGTCGTTTTTGGATACATTCTTTCTCTTTTTGAAGTTTAGTACTTTTTTTTTGTGGGGGCAAGGGCAGGTTGTTTTTGCCAAATGTAATTGGAGGGAATGGTGGCTTCACATATTATGCTAAGCCAGGATAA